TGACCTTGCATACCCTCTTAGCATCCTAGCACGCTATGTCGCTCCTGGCCGTCACCGGAAGGAGCACATGGATGCTGCTAAGAGGGTGTTGCGCTACTTGTGCAGTACGTCGGGCATGGGGCTTGTGCTTGGAGGGCGAGACCGGGTTGTTCTCACAGGGCACTCAGACGCTTCTTGGGCAGACGACCAGGCTACTCAGCGGTCGTCCCAGGGTTACACCTTCAGCCTTGGCTCTGGCTCAGTTTCTTGGCGTTCTACTCGCTCTTCTTCTGTTCTCAGCTCCAGTTGTGAGGCTGAGATCTACGCCACAGCCATGGCTGCTCAGGAGCTACGCTGGCTGACCTACCTGCTGACCGACCTCGGAGAGCGGCCTCGTTCTCCTCCAGTGCTGTACGTTGACAACAAGGCTGCCATTGCCTTGTGTGAGGAGCACAGACTGGAGCACAGAACGAAGCACATCGCTCTGCGGTACTTCCTTGCTCGAGAGCTGCAGCAGCGTGGTCAGCTTTGTCTGCGTTACGTGGCCACGGAGGCCAACACTGCTGATGTGTTCACCAAGGCGCTTCAGCCTTGTGACCATCAGCGCTTTTGCACTCTACTAGGCCTTGTACCTACTGGGCCTCACTTGCTTACCTCTTGACCTTGCTTGTACTGTGATCACTATATATATATGCCTACTTGTTTACTTTTGCTAGGTTGTGATCACTGTATCTCTTGCTTTGTTATAAACCTGCATGTGAACTGGTCTTGAGACCACTTGCTTGTGCTCGGAATTTGTGTGGAATCCTTGAGATCCACCCTGAGCTTGCTTTACTTTGCTTTGACTGGTCTTGTGACCCTGTGGTTGTCTCCCACTGCGCCTATGGGGGTGTGTCAAACATTGCATGTTTATATTGTCTAGGCTGTAGTGGGTTACACCTTAGGGGGTACACAAAGTTAGGGTTTACTACTTGTACCAAACTCTGTTCTAGTTTATTCACCCCTACTCAGTTATTTCTGACAAGAAAATCGCAACTGGGCGAAACAGACAACAAGAACAAAAAAAATAACGGACCAACAATCGAGCAGTACAAAACGCAACAAAACGAACGGTGGCCTGGTGGGCACCCGAAACCAGAAGCGCCACACACATCGAGCATTTAATGTGACTGACGCCATCATGCGAAAAAATCGGCTGAAGGCGCGCGAAAAAAAATGGCTGACGTCAGGAGCCGTCAGTCACCGAAAGGAACCTCGCTCGAAATTTCTAGCGACTCCGCTGACGTCAGTCACAATCATGCGTTAAAAAACCACCCGACACTGCGCTGTTGTAGAACATTACACTAACAAAATTTTAGAAGCAATAGAACAGAGAACTAAAAGAACATGCAAACATTTCTACTGATGTATAAATATCTAACCACCAACAACATGCAAACATTTCTACTAATGTATAAATATGTAACCACCATCATCATGGTTTTGTTGCCAAAAAAAAAATAAATTTACGCACAAACATACTATGAATCATCTTGATCGATATATGCCAAAGTAATTACAATCATTAAAAAGACTGACACATGTTGCTTCGCAACCCTAAGACGATTTCGTCGCCTCTTGTGTCAGAGATCCACTAGAGATCCCCGATGATCCTAGGGAAGGGTTACAGGCATGTTGGCCTGGGGGGTTATGGGCGCACTCACCCGCTACATAAACAAGCCCTTTTATCCCAGTGGTTAGTGGCTGGGATTCTGACATGGTATCAGAGCGAAGGTCTCGGGTTCGAATCCCGGTGTGTACATTTCGGGCATCCCAGTGCGGGGGGGTGTCAGAGGTCCACTAGAGATCCCCGATGATCCTAGGGAAGGGTTACAGGCATGTTGGCCTGGGGGGTTATGGGCGCACTCACCCGCTACATAAACAAGCCCTTTTATCCCAGTGGTTAGTGGCTGGGATTCTGACATCTTGTTTAGTTACAAAAACGTGTAGTAGGTTCTCTTTCTGTTGCTGGTTCAATTTCTCATAGGTGATACAATTTCTGCCAGAAATTGATTGGTCGAAAATCCCTGCGCTCTCACTGGTGGAAATTTGCGCACATCAAATTTCTCGTCGAAGTTCGATCGTGCGTTCGCGAGGGTTCGCATGGGTCGACACGACCCTGCGCAGATGAACTTACGCGATCTTCTGCACATGATGCGCCCTCTGAACCTGTCCACGAGATACTTACGTTCCACCTCCATAGGTTCCCTGGTACACCCCGTACACATGCAACCCGTCTCCTCGTGCAGAAGGTCTTGGCCCAGCCTGCAAAAGCTCCGGATTTCGCCCATGCTCATGCAGGGCTTCTCAACAATTCCAACCTTCAAATTCATTTGAGCCAGTACATCTGCAACCGTCAGATCGACATCTGACTACATCGACAGTCTACATTCCAACCTTTACTTCGAAATTGTTGAAGGCAATTTTAGCCGTCGGATTTTTATGAGCTGAAGATCAACGGCATCCTTACTTATCGAAGGCTTCATCTATATGCAGGGTTGCCTTAGTTGGACGGAGGGAGAGTGTAAGGAATAGTAATTCCTTACTGTACAAGCACTTTAGCAAGTATATCTTGAAGGTCACGCAACGAACCTGCTCGGCCTATTTCGTCGCACCGAACCACTCCCGAGTCGCCTCCACACCAATCGCAACCATCACTGAGCCATCTTCGCCCTACTTCTTCGCCTAGCTAGCTTTTCCCCTTTTTTAGTCCTGCCGTTCTCATTGTATGTCAAGTTGAACGTTCTCGTTATTCTTGGGGTTTATTGCGCACTCTGCAAGTTCATTCATAACACTCTTCGGCTCTGTTCGATAGGCAGCCACCTATAAGCAGAGAGCTAGGGTTAGGCTAGAGCTAAGGGGAGTTTTTGAAGTAACTTCCCCTAGGCAACCCCCCAAATCCTCAAATCAGAAGCTGCGCCTTCCGAGGTCAGAAGGAGGGGGTCGTCATGGCGATGTTGCAACCCCTCCTTCCACCATCTTCATCGTGGGCAGGGTCCAAAATTTTGCACCGCACTGCATGGGAACCTGGGTAACTCAAGGGTGAAAAAAAAACTAGTGTTATCAACCGGTTGTGGGAGGAAGGAAAATTTTCAGGGCAGAGATGGGTTTGGTTGGAGATGGGCCCTGGTGGGAAAACTTTCGTAGGGTAAGGGATGGGAAAACTTTCTTATGAAACCCTAGCCTAGCCATTTGGGGGGATCGAGGGCTGGGCTAGAGCTAGGCTAAACCCTGGGCGTGAGGGAAGGGCCTTGGAGCTTTCGGGGAGGATGTACTTGAAGGGTTAACGTCGCGTTGGACAGGCTAACCCTTAACCCTTCAGGTTCAATGGAGTTAAAGCCCAGTGACACCAAAATACGGGTTGACCAAGGAAAAAAATCCTAAGTCGAAACAGTCGCGATGGTTCCGCGGAAGGGCTAGCCTGCCTATTGAACACCACCGGTGGGCTTTTGGTTCGGGCTATCCTCTTAAGGAGGTGGGCCCAATCGGCTTTGATCGGCTCGTATCGGATTGGGTTGGTTTGGATCGAATGGATTTTGATCGCTTTTTTCGCACCGCCCGATCAAAATTGATTTTCCTCGAAAATTTTATGCCTGCATGAAAAGCGCGAAACCACTACCTGGTAGTTTCTTCCATTGTTTGGCGAGACGGGCGAGCTCATTGTATCGTGGTAACGTTGTGAAAATCGTACTGCACAAATTGTACGTTCGAGAACGTTCGCGATGGGTAACTATACAGTTCTCGCTAGTCACGTAAACTTTTCCTGACAGCATGTCAATTGAGTAACATTTCGCATACGTCGCCTAGGCCCCGATCACATGCAATCAAGTGATCGGGACTGATTGAGTCTGATCGAGATTGATCGGGCTGTTTGAGGCGGTTGATCGAGTTGGAGTGATTAGCTGATCGCGATCAGCTGATTGCCCCCGATTGCCTGAAATTGGGTTCCCGCCTTCTTGGAAGTTATTGATTGCCTTTGATCGAGCCGATCAAAGTCGATTGGGCCCACGTCCTAACGGACGGGATGAGGAAGTCGACCTTCCCAAACCCGCCCATTTCACGGGATATACGGAATATTGTTCATACAGTACTACTAGCAAGAACCAGGACCAGACTTCTCAGATTTAGCACAACTTGAGATTAGTATCAACGCACGCGAGTGCATACGGACAGCTGACCACCGCACAGTCAGAGCAACACTTGCCCAACTCCCTACTGTTAACACCATCGGAAAAAAGAGGGGACTGATTTGCTCTGGTTTGGTGTGCGTTTGGTTGGGAATGGTGCGAACCCAACTGCTTACCGGAGGTGTTGTAGATTGTAGATGGTTTTTTACGAATCAGGTCCTAGATCGGTTGTGCAGTAGATCGTCGATGTTGATCTGTTTCCACGCGTCACTGTAGCCAATGCCTTTGATCGTACCCGTTCAGTTGCAGCTCTGTTACTATTTGCAGGCATTCCCATAAACGCGCGGAAATCAGCATTGAAGGACGCGACTGGATACACGTGGAAGTTGGACTGGCTGTTGATATCTGGTTCCGATGAGTTATTGGGCAATTCCGCCGAACCCCTGCCACCTCGATTCGTCCTGGTGATCTGGTTACGGGATTTCGTAAATTGTTAACGAAAACTAATATCGAAGTAACATCCACGTACAGTGACGTCGGGGAAAGTACAGGTTCGGAATTTTCCCACATAAAAGGTGTACACCACGTTGTATGTTCTTTGGGACCGGTTATAAAAGTTTTGTCCAGAAATTACTGCGTGGCCGAATAAACAGTGACAATAGTTTTGATATGTACACTTGTATGATAGGGTCTGTATTTTTTTAAGGCTGTTTATAAATATATTTGTTGTTAATTGTCCAATGTTTTATATTGTTTCTGTTTTTCACAAGTGGAAACTACATATGCTGCTAATAACCAAATGTTGTTAAATTTATGTCAATTACTGTTACTGATCGAATCATTACTACTTATGCCTCAGACGTCACTACTAGAACCAGTTAAACTACTACAAAGCTTGACAATGTTACGGTACTCTACAGTGAACAATGCACACTCCCCAGATCCACATCTAGGGCAATCCATTGGGAAAATCTGGCTCTCATATCCCTCAATCAGAATCTTGACGTTCGGGGACATCCGGAAGCCAGCAGGAGCCACGAGATCCCAGATACCCCGGTCCCCGTTCTCATAGGTCTCTTTAATCCAGGTCACCACATGGGAGATCTTCAGCTCCACGTTCTGCTGGTTGACCATCTCAGACGTGTCAAGGGAGGGATTGGCACGGCCCCTGGCATTTGCCAAGGGCCATTCCACCTGCAAATAGATCAGCAGAATGTTAGTACGTTATAACATACTGATGCGAAAAAGGCTCAATGATAGCATAATAACTCACCATGTTGCAGGCATATCCCACCAATGGGATCTTCACCATGATTGTGGTCGCCTTCTTGCTGCCAAAACCGTGCAGCAGCACTAGCTCGAAGGAACGGTTGGCGAATGGCCGGGAGCTCACAATGCAGAAATGCCATTTCGACCCGAACCGCACTGTGAATAACATTGAACACAAGAGGCAGGAAATAAATATTAGCATACCATGTTGCGAGATATTACAATGAGCACCTGCATGTTATAAAACTAAGGCATACGCACGTGAACGGTGGAAAAAAAGAAATCTTACCGTGCAGAAAGTGCAGGGTCCACTCAGCAGGTGTTCTGGTGGTGGTGGGAGCTACGCCCTCGTCCGCGAGTTCCTTCAACTTGCTCTCGGCGACACATCCGCCCGGACCGCGACCGTACGTCTTAATGTCAGAGTTGTAGTTGCTTCGCTTCTCTGACACCTTCCGCATGGCGATGTTCTCTTTAGCTGGGAAGTTGCAGATGACGTAGTAGAACATGTCCCTCGAGACGCCAGCTTCAGCATATTTCTCCGCCATCATCTCCCGCAGCTCGGGCCACGACGGGTAGAACAGAAGCCTCCAGGTCGGTGCAGTTGTAGTCATGTAGGTGAAGGCCTCCAGTGCTTTTTTCTGAAACGGAAAAGAAATACTCGGTCATTGATAGGATATAAGGTGAACATTGTCAGGTAGAGCAGTGGACTATTGCAAAAGCGGTGACATGGATAGTACACATACGTAAAAAACAAGCGTGAACATAATACGCAACATCGTAAATGATGGCATGTCGGATTAGGGATACGTACCCCAAACAGGTGGTCCTGGTCGAGGGTGGCCGGGACAATCACTACGTTTTTTTGGTCCCGTGGGAGCGACTGCAGGTCGTACGTTGGCAGAATGGCGGTGTTGACAACAGCGCCATTCGTGCTAGCGGTGTTCGCAATCTGTTGACGCAGAGCTTGGATCAGAGCATCCTGCTCTTCGTAGCGCAGGGTAAGAGTTGTGTAAGCCGCCTCCTTTTCGTCCAGCGCGATCTGCAAGTCAAGGGCCCGCTCCTGCGTTATCTTCAACGAGTTTTGAAGATCTTCCACCTCAGAACGAAGACGCACGATTTCTTGGGAGCCTGCTGAGGGGGTGACTGATACGGGAAATGCAAGCCAACACGAGAGGGTTTAATGTGTTAGAATAACTCAAAAAGACGATGTCGGATTTATAGCAAATGCAAAAGACTCAAGAAATGAGACGCTGGAAAATTACAGACGTACCCGTGCGAGAGCGAGAAACAAGTGGCAGACCGTGGGCGTTGACAGGTTCGTCCGCGGTGGTAGTACCCTCAGCTGCAACTGCAAAAGCCTCTGTGAGATCAAGCGGGGCGTCTGTTACAGCCCCGCTGTTCAGAGTTTCCAGAGGGCTGGAACTTGTGCTTGCAGCAGGCACATCGGGAGAAGGCGTTGGTGATGCTGGGTTTTGGGAGATTGCTGCCATGCTACCCTTCTTCGGCTTCTTTCGTAGCTCCTGCGGAAGCATCCCATTCGCCTTCATAAGGTCCATGAACGTCATGAACGACTGGATCTTCTCCAGGACGTCGCCGTTGTCGTTTCCCGTCGCAGAGTCGTCAACTGGCACACCAGCAGCATCCAGCGTGACAACATCAGAGCCATTTTCTGGCGCGTGAGCTCGCTTCCCGCCACAAGAAGTTCCCTGCGCCCCAGACATCATGGAAGCTGTGCGATGTACACTTGTCGCAGGCGTTGTGGAAGTGGTGATATATTACAGGTTTGTTGCGATAGACAGTCTTGAGCGACACGATTCTTTTGACCCCATGGAGGCTTGACATTGGGTAATTAGAACCGCAAATACCCCTGAATTTATCAGGGTAACAAAGAGTGTTATACAGCACCGACGCCAGGGAAGTTGTGTGCAAAATCAAATTGAAGACGCGCCAACCACCCTTTAGTGTGTTCGCTGTTAAGCGCTTGTGTTTAGCGAGCAATACAGGTTTCGGGATGGGGTGCGCAAGTGCGAAACTTTACACGGGAACAAAACAGGCAACCTGTAAGAATTTTCGGCTACTGTAGACACCATGCAGCGTCAATGCCGTGATTGTCGCACAAATGCATGCGCGATTCCAGCTGGAAGATAAGGGTGGAATGGGATTGGTTGGTAATTTGCAGTATTCCGGAACGGCTTCGTCGTGGTCGTTAGTCGCGCTGCGCACTGATCCTGAAGCGCGTTTGCCAGTCGCACACTGCCAAGGTTCCTGCGACAGAATCGTGCGGAACAGCAATGCGCGCAATTGGGAAGTGGAGAGGCGGACGTGTGGGCCTTAGCCACAACAAGAAACCACCACCTCGGCGGCAGCATCACTGTACCCCGAAACGTGCGGATTCTGGGCCCACCAATTGCGGGGGAATCTTTTACCGCGCCGACCATTGGTGTATCTCTGAATAGCGTGATAAGAATCTGTACATTTAGTATTACACCTTCAGAACACCTTGTAGGAACATGTGAACAGAATTCGTATAAGAGTATTTGCCTGTTTTTGAACTTCAACCATGGATTACTTAGCCAAGAGTAAGAAGGAATAGATCAACCAGGACGAATATTCAGAACATGAATTTGTTCACAAGCCAGCAATCCTCGGTCGGAGCTGTACGGATCAGCTCTACTGCTCGCAAGATGCTAGTGATCGCAATCACGCGGTAACGATCATTGGATGGTGCCAAGTTGAGTTTCTTACACCTGGTTGCAGTGTCTGCTGTCCTGCTTTCATCATAGTATTTGATGAAAGCATATGGTTTCAGCACCCGGCCAATCCGGACCTGAAACAGAATCAACACCTTGGCGTACCACTCCGTGGTACCTGATTCATCCTCTCCTACAACCGCGATATTGGAGAACCATGGCCGACCATAGAACATCGGTGCTGCCCTGACGAGATGTGGTAGGCGGCTGAATGATGCATCAACGGCAGCTGGCATGGCTAACCCGTTGTGGACCTGTGAAGAGACATGCCACGGAAAAGGGCAAAAAAGAGGGTTTGGGGTGGTTACATAGACGAAGTATGATAGGCATGCGACATGGTTTCAAGTCCTTGCATAAGATCAGTTGTCCTTTGCTAATAACCAGGTCAATGAGGTCGTCGAATGCACGAATTGAGTCCATCTTACATGTATGGTGTCGATCGTACTACCCGCACAATCAGGGGCATTGTTGAGGGCGTTGCGCAGGAACGGTAAGTCCGCGGATAACGCAGAGGTGAACTCTACATCTCGGACGAAATCAGGGGTCAAGGGCACAACGTACGGTGCCTCACGCCGGTTATGAGGCACCAGGAGCCTCCAACTCTCGCGAGAAAGCACCCGTTCCCCCGTTCTCTGTGCCTGCAGGGTTTGGAAGAAAAAGGGATTATTAGAGATATCAGTACCCACCTGCACCAGTACCCACCTGCATCTGTACCCACCTGCACCAGTACCCACATGCATCAGTACCCACCTGCACCAGTACCCACATGCATCAGTACCCACCTGCACCTGTTCCCACCAGCACCTGTACCCACCTGCACCTGTACCCACCTCCACCAGTACCACCTGCACCAGTGGCACGCTGCATCAGTACCCACCTGCACCAGTACCTACCTGCACCAGCACCCACCTGCACCAGTGGCAGGCAGCATCTGTACCCACCTGCATCAGTACCAACCTGCATCAGTACCCACCCGCATCAGTACCCACCTGCATCAGTACCCACCTGCATCAGTACCCAGTCCACCTGCATCAGTGCCCACTTGCATCAGTACCCACTAGCATCAGTACCCACCTGCACCTGTACCCACCTGCACCAGTGGCACTCTGCATCAGTACCCACCTGCACCAGTACCTACCTGCACCATTACCCACCTGCACCAGTGGCATTCTGCATCTGTACCCACCTGCACCAGTACCCACCTGCATCAGTACCCACCTGCAGCAGTACTCACCTGCATCAGTACCCACCTGCACCTGTACCCACCTGCACCAGTACCCAGTCCACCTGCATCAGTGCCCACCTGCATCAGTACCCACCTGCAGCAGTACTCACCTGCATCAGTACCCACCTGCACCTGTACCCACATGCACCAGTACCCAGTCCACCTGCATCAGTGCCCACCTGCATCAGTACCCACCTGCAGCAGTACTCACCTGCATCAGTACCCACATGCACCTGCACCCACCTGCACCAGTACCCAGTCCACCTGCATCAGTACCCACCTGCACCAGTACCCACCTGCATTTCCTCCTGCCCACTCCCACCCACCCATACACCCACCCATACACACCTATACCCACCCGGACCCATCCATACACACCCACCAGGGGGCAGCTGCCAGTCTTCCACGGGCCGCGTCGAGCCTTTCCTGGCTGTGGTAATGGTTGCAGCAGTGCCCATACGCCAACACACCCATACATATCCATGCACCCATCCACACCAATCCATACCCATACACACCCATACACACCCAGGGTTACACACCCACCAGCCGCCAGTCTCCCAAGAGCCGTGTCCAGCCTCTCCTGGCCACTAAACAGACACTGAAAGTGCTCAAGAATGGTGACGCTCAATTAAAGGCTCACCTCAGACATGCACGTGTCGTACGATTTACGCTTGCCGAGGATTGGTGCAAGAGATTCGAGCCGCAGACGCATGACCTCGCTGTTCATGATCTGTGCCGTAGCCGTGCGCCTATTCGAGGCTCGGTAGGGGTTCTTGATGTACTCAATGTGCAAGTGCTCGAACATTTGCGTTGAGTAGTGCTCGGGCAAGCCCGCTCGACGAATCGAGTCGATGTAATGGCTGATAGGTGCATCTTAATGAACCTCCACTTGGAGGCCTGCGTAGGAAACGCCACGACGAGAGCGGTGATCATCCTGTCAAGGAAAGAGAGTGGTGGTGCAAGGATTTAGGTTGGTTGAACCTTCTGGACGAGAGTCACATGAGTGGCAGGCATGGCAGAGTGTGAATGGAAGCTGGATTAAGCGATACGCGGTATGTGGACTCACCTCTCAGCCTTGTGTTTCAGATCACGCAGTGACGCTGTCGTGTGCTCGCTCGTTCGTGCACAGTAGGTGTACCAGTCGATGTACGTTGCAATCGCATCCATTTGTGCCTGCGGGACTGTGGTCTCAAATCCTCGCAAAAGAAATGGAAGGACTTGCATAACACTCCTATGCTCGTACGCCTGGTAGCTCGCCCCCTGGGAGAAATACTCGCCTCCAGGCAAGCGCATGAATGGATTGCGGTTGTGTTCTCGCAGGTACGCAAGCCTATCATCGGCAAGTCTTTTCTGTGCGGTTGTTAGCTTCACACGCAGAATGTCTAGGATGTGCACGAGAATTCCCAAATCAGCCTGGTGCATGATATCAGGCATGACGCATAAGTAGGGGTTCAGAATGGGTATCGATTCCCAACGCCAACCCCACAAAAAGCAGTTCACCGGGTGTGTAGAGATGGTAGATAGTCCCGGCGGGTAGCTTTTGTTTTGCAAAAGGGTTGCTATGCCCTTTTGCAAAAGTGGCGTGCGTGGGATGATGCGATGAATAAATTTGTTTGTTTGCAACACTGGGACTGTGCACAACGAACATGGATGACTCGTGAGGGCCCCCGACTTTGTGCAAGTCACCTTGCACGACTCTGGGTAATCGCACGCGTACGCATACAAACCAGGGTAGGCATTGTATGTGGCACCGCTCGGGTCCTTCACCCTCACCCCTGTGTGTGAGGCCTTTCTCAATGGTTCCATGACCATTGAGAGGATGTGCTGGAACACGATCAACTTATCGACTGAATCGTACTCTGGTGTGAACTCGGGAAGTAGTGCTAGCAGTACGTGACCCCATGGCTTCCAGCGGTCATGCTTGTCGATGTTACCCAAAGTTAAGTAGACAGGATGACCTTTTGCGCGACCACGCTGGTCCATATGGGTCTCGTCGCTCGACAATATGAGGGCGACAACGACACCTTCCGGATCAATCTTTTGCACCTCATTGTGAAGGGTGAACCACCAATCACCGGTTTCAGGTGTTGAGTACACATGGGTTTGATCATCGGTGCGCGTGGTGGGTTTGAGGACAAGTTTTTCCGAGTTTTTGGGGTGCGTCAACAGATCTACCATCCCAATGACACCATCACAAAAGAAAAATTCTAGTGCGGTTTTCGATTTTACGCGCACAAGACCGCGACGCCAATTGCGATGGGGATCAAGGACGCGCTCATCGACGTATTTTTCAACGTCTCGCGTATTGCGGAACACCACTACATCGTCCTTGAACTTGTCACTAAGATTCAGGATTTGCAAGAGATTGTTAATGGCACTCTTTGACAAATTGCAAGTCAAGAGAAAGTGAGCAAAGGCATCCGCAAAATTGAAGGGATTGCTCTCACCTTCCTCGCCATTGACATCACCTGGTGCACACTCTTGTTGAACGCCCTCCTCTTCTTGGGATTCGGGCTGTGTGTTGTTGGGGGGTGGGTCTTGAGGGGGGGGAGGATGAGCCTCATGCACGGGAGAGGATGGGGTGCTGATGGACAACGACGGGGTGGGCATGGTGGCTTGTGCTATGCGGGGTACATGCATGGTGCGAGATGAAGTCTGATGCGAAATGCGATTGGCAGCGGTCATTCGGCAGGTTTCACCGTTTTGATGGTTTTTAAGGGGGCCCCGACCAGAGAAGCCTTGAGCCCCACATATTCCGCAAACATAGGCCATCCTGCAATGGGGTAAGAGGATGGGGGGGGGGGGGGGGGGGGGGGGGGGGGGGATGGTGAGGTAGAACCGAGTGAGAGATAAGTGGGGGTGGACCATGGGGGACGAGGCCGGATGGAGAGGGAGGTGGATGCGGGGAAGAGATGGGAACCATGCCGTCTTTTCTGGAAGTCTGAGGGACGATGGGGGATGGGGATGGTAACCCTTGGGGGGGGGGGAGGGGGGGACGGTTGTTGAGAGCGAAGAAAGTGGGGGCGGGATGATGAGGGGATGGTGCAAAGCGACACCCCCGGATCAGATGCGACGGGAGGGAAGCAACGGCGACCGCGGAAACAACGACGACGGGGAGATGCTAAGGCGATGGGGGGAAGCAGAGCAGAGGGGGGAAGCAGAGCTACGGGGGGATGGGAGGGTGACGGGGGGGAAGCAGAGCAGAGGGGGGATGGGAGAGAGATGGGGGGAAGCAGAGCAGAGGGGGGATGGGGGGGAGACGAGGAGAAGCATAGCAGAGGGGGGATGGGGGGGTGACGGGGGGATGCAAGGGCGACGCGAGAAAGGAGAGGCTACGGGGGATGAAAGGGTGACGGGGGGAAGCAGAGATACGGAGGGATGGGGGTGTGACGGAGGGAAGCAGAGATACGGAGGGATGGGGGTGTGACGGAGGGAAGCAGAGCAGAGGGGGGAAACAGAGCTACGGGGGGATGGGGGGGTGACGGGGGGAAGCAGACCAGAGGGGGGTTGGGGGGGTGATGGGAGGAAGCATAGCCGAGGGGGGATGGGGGGGTGACGGGGGGATGCAAGGGCGACGCGAGAAAGGAGAGGCTACGGGGGATGAAAGGGTGACGGGGGGAAGCAGAGATACGGGGGGAAGAGGGGGTGACGGGGGGATGCAAAGGCGAGGCGGGCGATGCAAAGGTGACGCGCGAAAGCGAGGGCGCGACGGGGCAAACAAGGGCGAAGGGGGGGGAAGCATAGGCGACGGGGGAAAACGAGGTGCGACGGGGAGAAGGCAAGGCGGCGACCACGGAAGGCAAGGGCGACGAGCGTAAGCAAAGGCGACCGCTGGCGATAAGGGAAATCATATGCGACGGGGAGAAGCAAATGCGACAGCGTGAAATAAGGGCGAAGGCGGCAATCCAAGGCTGTCGATGCGAATCTAAGGCGACTGGAAGATGCAAAGGCGACGCGCAAATTCGAGAGCGACGGGGCTCAGCAAGGGCGACGGGGTGAAGCAAAGGCGACGGCGGAAGGCGAGGGTGCGACGGGGATAAGGTGGCCCACGTGTGAGATTGTGTGCGATTCGGGAAAGCGGAGGCGACGGGGGAACGCAAAAGCGACCGGGGGAATGCAAGGGCAACGGGGGAAAGATGGGCGACGGGGGAATTCGTGTGCGACGCGGGAAAGCGTGAGAGGCGGGGGAATCGAGGTCGCCGCGGCCAACCCTAGACTTACGTTTGAAAATGCGACGGGGTGAATGCAGGGCGACGGTTGAAAGCATGGACGACGGTGGTAAGAGATAGCGACACGGGAAGGCGAGTAGGCAGACGAGGGCGACACGGGAATGCGAGGGCGACGGGAGAAACCGTCAGCGCGGATGGGGTGCGTGTGCGACGGGGGACAGGACAGGCGACGGGGGAAAGCGTGGGCGACGGGGAGAACATGGAGACTGTGGGAAGAAAGGGCGACGAGGGAAGGAGTGCGCGACGCGGGAAAGCGGGCGGGAAGGGGGAAACCGACCGCGAAGAGGGCAAGCGTGTGCGTCGAGGCAAAGCAAAGGCGGCGGTGGGAAGCTAAAGGCGACGGGGTACGCCACGGCGACAAGGAAAGTGCGGCAACTTGGCGCGAACGCGACGACAATGATAATCTCCGCGCTGGGATTGCATAGGTATTAATAAGCTAAGTGCCTCACCTTGGGATAAGGCAAAACTCCCGCGACAATGCCGCTGGATAGGACCGATACAAGCGGTTTACCCGCCTGCAGGCCCGCAAGTGAAGCCCGTAGACACCAGGTACCGGTCACAGTCTATGTGGAGGGCGGTATCGTGAAGCGTGGTTTGCTTAGATTCTTACTCTCAGGAGTGAGCAAGTGCTCAATGCTTGTGTATACTGGATTCTGGAATTCCAAATTCGACACATGTTCACGAGGGGAAGTGCTGGGCCGATTCCTCATTGGCACACAAGGGATGCTCTTGGCGGGACGCGCCGAAATGCTCAAATGTGACAACTCGCGCCCCGTGAAAATCGGCGGTGCGTCGACATCATGTTTGACGGAAAAAAGCCGGGAAACACACGTGAGGCCACTGGCCAACTGAACCACCCTCTATACGACAAAACTGAAAAGAAAACGTAAACATATCTAAGAAAACTAACATTACAAGTACTGTACTTGAACGCTACAGAAAAAAACAACTATAACACTAAACGTCTATCATATGTACTGCCAATATTTTCTTGCCAACTCGACTTTCACACTACAATGGCGCCCCAAAAAACACAAGAAAAACTGGGAAATCGATGCAGGTAATGTAAATATACACTTCAAAAAATCGTCAAACATGTTATTATTCTCAGTAAAAGATGTTCATAACTATAGTCAACAAAACCGCACGAAATGAACTACTTGTGATGCGTGACCTCCAAACCATTATGACGGGGAAAACACAATCATTTAATGGATCGAAACATATCCGTAACTGTTGAAATTTGAAGACGCAATAAGCAAGATGCTACTCTAACGCGTATACGACCCCTATGTCCCGACAAAACCAGGAACCCCACAAAACAAACAGGCGGCGTAACACAATGGGGACGTTCGTAACCACCTCGCGACATCCGCGACTGCGGAATCAAACCGTCCTGAATGGGCACACACTGGCGGAGTGCAGGGGAGAGACACGTGGCACACGAATATTACAATCTCATCCCATATCTCATACAAACCAGCTCGACACCGAAGCAACCCTAGACTATCGAACCTCTTCCTTTCCAGTCAGCCCAACGAATGGGCAAACCACGCAACAAATAACCAATTGGTCGACAGATACGACCATGACTATTCGCACCGACACAACTAGCAGGAAATCAACCGTTCGCATTTCACCCCCCCCGACGGGTGACTCACAGGCAACCCCTTGGGGCTGTCTTTGGCTGACCCGGGATTCTTCCGATGACACGCCTATTTCCCAGTTAGTATCTTGAAGATACTAACATCAGTTTCATTCAGCGCAAGATTCGGCATTCAGCAGCAGCTGCCAGGTCAATGATGTGTACCCTTCGAGGCATCTGGATGTGAAAACTCGGGGGGGCACTGGATCTGGCGACTGCCGTCAGTGGCTCGTTTAGTCCCAGCCCAGTCCACTGCCCGATTTGAAACGAAAGTCTCGACAGTTTCCATGGCTGGCAGGTGTTCACGTGCCACGTATCACCGCCCGTGATTCCTCCCATTCCATACTCACGTGATACGCCGAGTTCGAGGGGCATCAGGTGCTACTTACATGGAGTACATCTCGTGTACTTGATTCTCTAGGTCGCTTTGTTGGATGTGAGTGCGAGAATACCGGCCACACTCCAGTGCAATCATGATTCCATGCATTCCGAACCCCTCCTCGTCAGTCCACTTGGCCCACAGTCCCGCATCCTCGCTCGCGCACCCCTTTTCCACCTCCCTTCCCGTTACACTCCTCCTGCCGCGAGACGCCAGTTTGAAGAATGCCGAAAGAAAGCATCATTCAAATGCCAAGGCGATGATGCCCTAAAACATCGCCAGGCGGCATTCTCAAATTTGTTGAAGAAGCCAACAGCCTGGGGCTTGTGCATGGGTCGCTCCCAAGGACGTCGTTCCGTTCCACTTATTCCGCCGTATAGTCTTGCAAATGCTACGGCAAATTAACTTTGAGCTGTTTTAAGTCATGCTCGTAAGTTAAGTTTGCTGCCTCGGCAACTAATAATAGTACCGCTTTCAAGAACAGCAGTTTGACCGCCATGCCGCATTCCTCTGAAGCCAGTGACTCGCCGGTCCCTCAATCCTCGTTCCCCAGCACGCAGCCATGCTCGCGAGAGGTGGGTCGCGAGGGAGAGGTGATAGTGGGTTGAGAGAGTTTCAAGCTTCAAAGGAGATTCGGAATACAGTCTTGCGCAATTCCTTCCTTGTTAGGTCGATGGGATTAGAATACCATTGCGCGTCAGGACAAGTTCAGTGTGCCTTGAGGCGCGCACGTCCACAGAAATGCTCATGATGGGAACGCCTCACTCACGGTGCCATTGCCTCCCGCACTCACGAGGCAGGAGGACGCCGTTCTGTTGCAACATGCGCTGCATTACGGGACGAAGCGGTGGGGGGAGCTGGAGAAGAGCGGTCAGCTCAAACGGAACAACAAGTCGTGTTGTAACCGTTACATCTTCCTCAGAAGGTACCCCTGCGTGCCACCTACATGATATTTTTCGGATCAAGGTGTTTTTGATATGCCTGTGCATCTCTTACACGCCTCGAAACACTTTCCTCTCCTGTGGTCGGTGGCAGGAAGTTCACTGACCACTTTCGCCAGAACTTCCTGAAAGAGCACCTGGAAGCTGCTGCATTATCCCAGCATATTGTATTGGATGGACACAGTCAGCCATTGCTCTGTCAGGATTTCAAGCAGCAACAGCAGCAGCAGCAGCAGCAGCAGCAGCAGCAGCAGCAGCAGCAGCAGCAGCAGCAGCAGCAGCAGCATTCTGGCGTCGGTTCAGCTGCACTTGCATTCGGAGGGCTGTCGTTTGACGAGTGCACGGTCGTGTTCTTCGCCCCCAATGCACGCTGCTCCCTCCCCGCAGCCCCGCCCAACCTCTCATCATTCGTCGCCCCTCCTCCTGCTTCCCAAGCCGCCACCTTCTCTGCTGCTGCTTCTACAACCGAGTTCCCCTTCTCTCATGAAGCCTTCCCCGTTGCTGCGGCCTCCAACGCCGCTGCTTTGCGTCGTCCATTGAAGCGACCACGGAACGACTGCCCGGGGCTGGGGGCAGGCC